TATCTATTTTTCATGCCTTTCTTCTTTTCCTTTACTTTATCTCACGTTTTCTTTTCCTTTTTTCTATAATTTGTATTTTTCATTTTCTTTTTCATTTCTGACTTTTAACCTTGTAATTTTAAAATTTCAATAAAATATTATAAGAGAAAGAAAAAAAAGAAATGGTTGGTTTGGCTATCTAAAGAGGTCTAAAAAAGGGAGGATGATCTGGCTACTGTTTTAGGGCATTTGGCTTATACAGTAAGTAGCTAGGCATGGAGATTAAATAATCATGCCTTTCTACATTGATTACTAATCTAAACTGGTTTAAAACTCATTTAAGTAGTATCAAAGATCACCCATCCTAGGTCAGAATGATTGATTTTGCAAAGCGTGCTGTGAATTCATTGCAAGAGATGTTAAGTTGGGGAACAGCAGTTCTGATCTAGTTATGAGGGAAGAAAGTTCCACCAAATACCATATTCCTTTTCAGCAAGCATGCACAGTTTTAGCTTCAGGAATTCTTGAAGATATGAGAGAGACACACCCATTCATCCATTTAACACTGCAATCCCAATGCATATTTGAGAATAAATCCAGTTGAACTCAACAGGATTTATGTATGAGGAAACCTGCATCAATAAAGTTACATGTCTGTTACAGTATATTTTTGTGTCCCTGTTGGAGTTCCATGGACATCTTGGAGGGTTTCTTAATGATCAACCAGATTACACATCAAGGGCTTTTCCAGTTAATGGTTGTGTTTGCCTAGGCTACCTCAAAAAGGTCCAGTTAATGGGTGGACATTTAACTAATCCCCTGCTGCTTTTACTAAAATTTGTTTGAATGCAGAGCAGTCATTATCTTGGATTTACAAAAACTCGGAGTCTGAAAGGAAATCTTGACATAGTTTCAATCGCCAGTTTCTGTAATCCCCAAATGGTGATGGTCTGGTTTGAACTACACAAAAAAATCTAAGATTCTAATTAAAAAACCATGTTTAGTACAAGTAGTATGGCCAGCAGCTGGTTTAGCATGCCACATGAATGCAACTCCATATATTGCTTTATTATTTTTTAATAGCAGAAAATGATCCAAATGGAGTGTCTTCACTGCCCCGTTTTGCATTCCTAGTTTGCCCTTTAATTAAACAAATTATGAATTAATTGCCCTTTGTTTCTTCAATTTCTGACCTACCTTTGAAAATACGGAATGCAAAGCTATCTTAAAATTAAGACCCACTTTCTAAAGAACAGATTAATAAAAAGTTACATTTATCTTTATATTTATGCAAATACTATAATTTAAACATCTACAGCCCAGTTAAAAACAGACACTATATTAAAATCCCACGTTAAAACGTCCCCCAAGGCTAATGGGGTACAGTGTATTTTGCTGCCCCGTGAGAACGGAGGCTGAAGCACGGCATTCCGCTTGGAAGCCACCAGGAACGGGCCCTCTCCAGACCTGGCAGCGGTCTTTTTCCTACAGAGAGCCAGGCCCCAAATCCCGGGGGAGTTTAAAGGGCAGACCCCCAACACTTTAAAACTGAGCCCGACAAACAAAGGGTGGCTACCGACGCATAATCGTGTGATTACCACAGCGCGCCCCGGTTGAAGCGACTGAGCCGCTGACGCGGAGCCTTCCAATCCAGCCGGCGCATCTACCCCCTTCTCTCCTCACTTCACGCCAAGTTCTCCTGCCTTCCATTATTAAGGCCCACCAGTTCTGGGCTGTAAAAAATCGCGCTGACCACGAGGAAACAACAAAACAGTAACGCTTTCCCGCCATCTCGTGGCTGTCCGGTTTTTCTCAACCCAGACTCGGCAGTTCTGCTACTACGGGTCCCGGCCGCAGGCGCCTCATTCCTGCATCTTAAAGAGCCCCGTTTGGCCGCCTCAGTCGAGCCGGCTTCCTCGCCGGTTCTTGAGTTTTATGAGCTATTTCGAGGGCGCTCCCCGCCTCACGCTCGGCTAGTTCAAAGCATAAACGCACCCGCTCGCTTGGTTTACTCGCCAGAGCGAAGAGCGAAGCGCTCGCGGGTGAAACGCTCAAACGCGTTCAACTCTCCCGGGGGGGTTCCGTTGTCCTGTGAGAGGCCAGGGAGGCCCCGTGTCAGAGCAAGTTTGGACAACTGCTGCCCTCTTTGGGTTTGTTTACTGCAAGAAAACTCAAGAAAAAAACCCGGAGTGAAGAGGCGGAGGGAGGAAGGAAGATTTCCCTGAGGGGGTGTGGAAGTGCCCCTCCCTGATTTATGGCCCCTTTCCAGCTAAGAAAGAGTTAAAAAGGCGCAGCTTCCCTTTCTGGCAAAGCAGGTATCTGAGTCCCAGAGCTCCGCCCCGTTGTTGCTGCAAAGCCACTCAGGTGCTCGCGTCTTTAATCACCCGCGCCCTTTCCCACCCCCAAGGCGCTGCATATAAGTCCGCTCCCAGCTTCCTCCGCCGTTGGCGTTCTGCTGATATCCAGTTGCCTGGTTCCTCCAGCTGCCTCTCGAGCTCCCTGCGATCATGATCAAGTCCCAGCGGAACGCGTCTAGCACCGTCCGCAGCTTTAGCAGCCGGTCCTACACGCCTGGCCCTGTCAGCAGCTCTCGAATCAGCACGTCTTACGTGTCCTCCGGCTTCGGGGGCAGCAGGTATGGCGGAGGCGGCAGCTTCCGCGGGGCCTCCGCAGGCAGCCTAGGTGGTATCACGGCTGTCAGCGTGAACAAGAGCCTGCTGGCCCCGCTCAACTTGGAGATTGACCCCACCATCCATCAAGTGAAAACCAAGGAGAAGGAGGAGATCAAGACCCTCAACAACAAGTTTGCCAACTTGATTGATAAGGTGCGTTGCCGGGGTTGCCGCTTGGCGGTCAGGCCTTCGCAGAGCCAGTTCTGAAGAGGGGCCCAAAGGGATTGTTTCTGCCGCGACAGACGGTTTGGCCCAGGTGGGCCTCTGCTCTTAGAAGCTTGTAAGTTAAGCTTTGGGAAAATGGGGGCGGGGGAGGGAAGAGTGGGACATCACGTGCCCGCAGCGGCGGTAGCCAAGGAAATGGAGTGTTTTCCAGTACAGAGACGGCATCTGTGGGCAAGGGGTGTGCACCGGGTCCAGGTAGACGAAGGTAAAAGTGAGAGGCTGCTGTTCTGTGCACCTGGGGGGCTGGCAACGGGTTAGAAACTGGAGGCCGGAGGTAATTCCTGTCCTCGAAACTTCCTCTGAAGAGGAACTCAAACCTGTTGAATCAGTGTGGACACGGCGAGTAGAAAGCTCCTCCTACAGGCGCGAAGGTTGAAGAAGAACATAAAGAAGGTTCTCTAATTTCATGTTTAAAAAGAGGGGAGAGAAGATGGCATTCTACTCCATTTTTTTGTATGGTTGGGCAACCACACTGAATTTCCACCTCCACTCCCCTTTTGCACGGACTATACATGAAGTTTATGATCTACTTGGCTTGTGAGACAGAGTTTGTGCATTGTGTTAAACTGCAGGTTTGTTTTGTTCTGGCTTAGTGTGTTGCGCCAACCTGGTTGTTGTGATTTACCCAGATCAATAAAGTATGGCTTAGAGAAAACTAATCCCAGATGTGTGTGTTTGGTTTTTTTTGAGTCTTTGGGGCCTGATGCAAGCGTAGTGCTTGGTATTTCTAAGCCTTCCAAAGCAATTGAGAGGGATGTTTATTTATTTATTCATTCGGTTTGTATGCCGCCCATCTCCCCCACAAGCTCTTCCTGTGGTGTTACCTTCTGATAATGCCCCTTGTTAGGCTGGCCTGCAGATATGAGCTGAAAGGGAGCATGGATCCAGTCCAAACACCCTCCCCCCCCCTTTTTTTTTTTTGGTGAGGATAGCTGTTCTCTGAATGTTTGCATTATTTAGGGGATACTTTTCTAGCATTCTTATCCTGTAGTGAGTAAAGAACAGGATGCTGGTTAATCTGTTTCTTACATACCTGTTCCCACCCTTGCCTTTCTTAAGATGCCATGCTTATAGTTATTGAGCCCAAGATGAATTGTGAAGAGGAAGAGAGCGTGTCTACACAGGTAGGGGTGATGTACACTCACAGAGGTAGCTAACTCTGCATCCCTTCCTCCATAAGGCTATGGTATTTGGCCTGCAAAAATCCAGATGGTCACTAGGCAGCACTGAAGATTAGTTTTCTGTATCTCTTTGCTGCTGTCGAATGGCCATTTAGATCTTTGCAGCCTGGGTATGATAGATAATTCTACGTAAGAACTATCTGAAGCTGGAGTGCTACTGTATGTATCCTTGCTAAGGGTCATTGAACTGATGTGTGCAAGATCAGCCTTTCTGTGACTTGTGGATGCTGGTGGGAAGGACCCCTTAAAGTCCAGAGAGCAATTGTTTGAATAGGCTTTCTATTTAGTATTGACTTCAGTTAATGTCAGGGTGGTCTTTACAATTAAGCCATAGTCAAGGCTGTGCACATGCCTGGGAAGAGTGGCTGTGGGAAGGTGGGTCAGGATCCTGCAGTACACTCCCAGTTTCTTAATAGCTGGAAAATGGGAGCCGAATGTATGCACTGTGCTCTTGTTAAAGAAGAAAGAAGAGTGGGAAATCAGAGTGCTCCAATCTGAAAGGAATGTGCAGTGCAAGATTTACTTTCCAGTCTAGAGATAAGTACAAATTGGAAAGTTCTCAATTAGGTGGGTGGCTTTCTGCAGAATTCCCTCCATGTTGCCTGGCAGCTGCTTTCGTGGGTGAGTTATTTCCAAAGCTTCCAGTGCCTACTTTGAACACGCATTCCTTGAGAATCCCCAAAGAATTCCAGATATACCCTCAGTTGGAAGCCCCAATGAACTTTCTCAATCTTGGAAACTGGATGCATTAGGAGATCAGTGGACTATATGTGTGAAACCAGCAGCAATTCACCCAATTATTTTGGCTAACAATAAATCACATAGACACAGAGCTTCAGGTGCTTCCTGAACAACCTCTGTCACTTAGGCAGCACGTGATGAGGTGATAGCTACCACACCCCCTGCTCTTGGGTTATTGCCAAAATGCTGCCTTGAACCTTTGGAGATAAAGTATTCTCTGCACTTTCCTGGGTGACCACAGCATTCTCGCCATGTCACTGGAAAGGAATGGGGCTCAGCTGGTTGCTTCTAAGAAGTGCACTTTGTAATATACAGCTAGCTCTTCCTGGTGTTGCAAATCAGCTTGAAATTCTGAAAGCAGCTTTGTATCCTTCTCTTCAGCCAGAAATCCTCCTAAAACTTTCTGGTAGTTAGGAGGCCATCTGAAAGAAAAGAGAGAACGAAGATGTAATGGAGGAGAGGGAAAAGCCTGATGGGGGCATTTGGATGATTACACAGATGAGTAGAAAGTGAGGTTTTCTGAGATAACTCTGGTCTGGTTCCCACTGTGACTATTCTCAGCCTGTTCCTCTTCTGTTTTCTTACTGCTTCCCGTTCTGAGGTTGGTTCCTGAGATTGGTGCTGTTCCCCTTCCCTGAGGCAAAATGGTTCCTCCAAAGCTGTGATTATGCTTTATAATACATGCCCCGGTCTTTCATTAGACTGAGCGCCTCACACGACTGTCAAGCTGCAGTTACTCCATAACTAAAGCATCTGCCTCTTCAGTAATCTTCTAAATTGCTAAGTGTGTTCTGCCATTAAAGATAGGTTCTGAGTTTTAAGTCTTGGCTAGCTATGCTCCAAATTAAATGCTGCCTCTCTGCCATCAGTGCTTCCTCTTTTGCCTCTGTGATGGTCCAGATAAGGGATGATGATTCAAGGCAGGGTGAAAGACTTAAGGTTCACCCAAAGAGCCTACTTCTCCCTCAAGGGAGGTTGTTGGGATGTCTGCCTCAGCAGCCCCACCGTCACAGAAACTGTTCTTGACCTTTGGGTGACATGCTGGGCTGTATTCCCAAAAGTTAATTAAATGTTGTTCCTATGATAGTGTTTCTCAGGTATGTAATCACTTAAATATATTTCTAGACCAGAGGTGCCTTGGGTGTGGCCCCAGAGTGCCTTTGAATTGTAATTTGCAATGAGCAGAAGGGGGAAAAGTTATTGTAGGCCCGAGAGAGGTACTGTAGTCAAATTCATTGGGTCTAATTCAAATTACATCAGATTTAGCCTTTGCTCTTGCCTCTCCTACACTCTGAAGTGCAGCACTTGGCTGTGGGCCCCGGGAAAGATCAAATGTAACCTTAATCCAAAAAGAAGTCATACACCTTTTTCCCCTTTGCATTTGTGGAAAGAGAAATGTCTTTGTTTGCTGCCTTTTACTCAGAGCAGGCTTAATCCACAGAGAACCTGGGCATTGTAAACTGAAGGAGCAGCACAATAAAAAAATTCTGAACTGAGATAATAAAGTTTGCTCATGCAAGTAGCTATGTAGGAGGGAGCATTGTCAAATTCCAGTTTTGCTGATTTCTCCAACCTGGCATTCTCTAGATCTATTGGACTATGAATGTATCTAAATTCAAAATATAAATAAATAAAATTTCCCGTCTTCCTCGGCTAATGGGAATGACACAGTGGAGGAGTCTCACATTGAGAAAGACTTTTTTTATTATCAGGATAAGCAGGGAAGTATATGATGTAAAATGTTTTTCCTGACTTTTTTATGTTTGATTTTAAAGTGAAATTACGGAGTTATTTTTATTATGTCTATGCTTTCATTATCCAACCTCAGCAAGAGCTGCTAAAGAAATCCATTTTTAGTTGTCTTTTTTTTCTTTTTGTCCTAATACCTGGCTTTCCAATTATTTAAAGTTGTTTAAAATAAATCGGATCTTTTTATTTGTGGCCATGGGCCGTACTTGATTTCTGTGTTGATGCAGTTCACATTCCAGAAAGTAGGAGGGACTAGGATAGAACTAAATTTAATCAGGTTAAATTAAAATCAGATAAATAGCATGATTACTCCTTTTTCTTTTTGCTCTAATAGCTGGCTTTCCAATTAAAGTAGTTTAAAATAAATGGGATCTTTTTATTTGTGGCCATGGGCTGTACTTGATTTCTGTGTTGATGCAGTTGTTCGCATTCCAGAAAGTAGGAGGGACTGGGATAGAACTAAATTTAATTAAGTTAAAATCAGATAAATAGTATGATTACTCCTTGTGTATTTAATGTTATGTTTCTGTTAAACTTTACAATCTATTGGCAGCTTTCAGAAATATCCTGGGGGATGGAGGGCAGTCATACTAAAGGATACCTATAACTGTAGGGTTTCAGATTGTATCCTTTTGGTGCATAAACCTAAGTCCAGAAAGTGACTTGTAACAGATCTGTTCCCTCAGCCACCACAGATTCCATTTGGGGATCAAGGAAGTACCACAAAGAAATAAATCATGCAGAGAGCCAACAGGCATACTCCTTAGAATGTATATCTTTTGTTCTCAGATGTTTCTAGCAACTGAATAGTACTTAAAGTGCACTAAGAGTGGCATTGTGACATCCTAGCATGTCCCACAGGAGAGTTTGGGAAGGCCTGCTGAATCCATTGTAGCAGAAGCTACAGCTTTGCAGGTTTCTCTGAACCTTTTCTTATTGTGGGACGGTGGCCTATCTTGTGCCAGTAGAATGCCAGTTTGGCTTCTGATGAAAAGGATAAATGAGATTTCCCATTTGAACAGATACAGAGCTCCATGGGTGCTGCTTAAGTATCAGGAACCCTTCCTATTTTGTTCTCCCTCCCCCCTCAGGTTCGCTTCCTGGAACAGCAGAACAAGATGCTTGAAACCAAATGGAGCCTCTTGCAGAATCAAAAGACAACACGGAGCAACATGGACAGTATGTTTGAGGCCTACATCAGCAACTTGCGCCGGCAGCTGGAGAACTTGGGTCAGGAGAGGGCAAGGCTGGATGCTGAGTTGGCAAACATGCAAGGCCTGGTAGAAGACTTCAAGAACAGGTGAGTGGGGAAGGGGAACTTGGTCTTGTATTCCTCCAGGCATGCTAGGGCTGGACAAAGCCGCCTTACCACCCATCCTGCGGCAGAATTATGGAAATTCCACATCAGTCCTATAATCTGCTTAGCTTAATTTACCAAAATGGTTGTTTAAATCCTTGCCACACCTTTACATTTGCTAATGGCGACTGGTGGCTTGGGGTTTATTTTATTTTTGCTGTCCTTGTGTTTGATTTAACAGTTATCATAGCTCCAATCTCTTAATCCTAATCTGTGCCAACCAGGTATCCTGCACCAATTTACTTGGAGTAATATGATAATATAGAGCTCGGTGGACAGACCTGGGAGGATAGTGGTGTTGAGGGTTTATTTATCAGACCGTGCATAAACAAAGGAATTGTACCAGATGGCTGGGCAAGGATTATTTCCAGAAAAGGGAAGTGATAAACCAGAACACAAATAAGATCTCTGGCATTTTTAAAGTGCTCGAGGAAGTTGAGGATGGGAGGGCACTGCCAGCAGAATTGGTCAGTACGTGGTAGCACACCTTCATTGCACATCTGGCTGTCTGTTTTGTACCAAGCAAGATCGCTGCTACAACAAAGCACTACTGGGAGAATGACCTAACTTGTCTTGTGGGCGTCTGTTTTTGCTGCAAATGCTGCATTTCACTTCCCAGCTGCCTCTTGAACAACTTTACAAGGAGCTTCCTCAGTGGGCTGGAGCTGCAGCTCCAGAGATGCACGTTGGCTGGAATGCCAAGTTGGAGGAGACTCTTTTACAATGGAGGGGATGGGATATTGTCTTAAGGATTTCCAGCTTTCCAAATACTTCTGACATCAGGAGCTGGACAGGAATGGGGCGCCTGGAAATCCAAGGGAGTCTCCTTCTGAACAAAGAGGTAGAGTTGGGCAGTAATTTGTGATCTATATCTTTCCAAAGAGCCATCGTGCCTCTGAATTCTATTCCAAAGCAGAATTATTGCAACTCTCTTTTCTTAGGCATTTTCAAAATAAATGTTATATTTGTATTCTCTTGGTTGTATCCCTTGCGGTAACAGAGAGCTAACAAACTAGGATTGGACAAAGGGGGTGTTTGAGAATGAGGAAAAAGGGCTGGTGAAAATGTCCTCTTCCATATACGTATTTTTAGTTCCACATCCTGAAATTTCACATTCACTCATGGGGGTTTGAGAAGGAGGCAGAACCTGTGATATCTCGAGTTTGGCAGGTGCATTCTAGGTACCCAAATCAACTCCCTGGCCATGGCACATTCTTGCCACTACTTTCCCAGTTCCAGAAGTGCTTCACACAAAATGCCCTTAGTGGTAAATGGTTAGATTTGCCATCTTCAGGTTTCATTCTCTCTCCTCTTTATAAAAGTGGGCTAAGATGTGCCTGGGTGGACAAGTAGTAGCTGATGCTGAATGCGTTTTGACTCTACCAGGTAGTCCTTGGGTTATGACTATTCATTCTGAGACCATTCAAAATTACAATGGCGCTGAATGAGAGTGGCTTATGGTTGGTTCTCAAAGCTCTGGCTGTTGCAGCAAGCAGTCGGCATGTGATTGCAATTTCCGATGTTCCCTGCTGGCTTCCCACAAGCAAAGTCAATAGGAAAGCCAGCAGGAGCCGGAAGTTGCGATTATGTGAGGTCCTCGCTTAACAACGGCAACTGGGACTGCTGGAATTGCTGCCACTAAGCTATGCGGCCATGTGACCTGCTTTACAACCATGCTGCTTAGCAACAGAGTTCCTGGTCCCGGTCCCAATTGCCACCACTGTAACCTGAGGACAGCCTGTAATGTGCACCCATTTCAGGGAGCATGGCCAGAAAGCAAATGTGTGAGGATGTTCCTGCATTGCCTCAAGCCCTTCCCCCACTGATGCTCTAACAGCTGGGGATGTTTTCCTTTTTTTTTTTTTGGACTGGTGGGCTTAATTCTTAAGTAAGGACTGTCTCCATTCTATATTTTTATATTCTAGGGTTCCTTATGGGCTCCAAAGGCATTTCTGCAAATACAGTTAATGCTAGTGGTCGACAAGTTGCTTTGCAGAATGCCAGCTTTTCATATGAACATTTTTTTTAATTAAAAGAATCTCAATAGAACTTTAAGCCTCTGATAGGACAAGAGCCTAACGGGCACCCTGAGAGGTGTGTGGACACTATATTAGGAACCTCAGCAAGTCTGCAGGCTTGAATATTGAGGCTGCTGTCCTGTGAATTTACTGGGTTTTTGAGCGTATTGCTCTTATACAGTTTGACATCAGTCCAAATAATGCCATTCACTTTGAACTATGAACTCTGTGGGTGCTGTGTTTTTCATGTAGGTCTTTAACTAAAAGAATATCATGCATAAATGAACACTGACCAGCAGCAGCGAAACGTTGTTGGTAATGCTGAATAATGGGAACGGGGGTCTCAAAAAGTGGCCTTTGATGGGAAAATAAGGATGCAGTCTCATGCACTCTTATTTAGTTTATCTTGCCTTTCTACTAAAACGTTCAAAACAGCTACCAAAAATAATCGAAAACAAAGTTAATGAGAAAATAACCATTTAAAACCATGATAATCTTATAATTTAGGGGCCTTCCACCTTAACTCCCAGCGTATATGTTTTGGCTGTGATTAGCCAGGGGGTGCAGCACTTCGCACATGCTCAAATGCCTTGTTACCTTTACATATTTCTAATAGTGATCCTAGCACACGGTGCTTAGCCCTGGTTCAAATTGCATGTAATAATAGCCAGTTAACTTCCTTTATCCTACAGGTACGAAGATGAAATCAACCGTCGTACTGAGAAGGAGAATGAATTTGTCCTTCTGAAGAAGGTAAATGGCAGGTTGATCGCATTTCTTAGTTTATTATCACAATTTTGGGAAATTGTGTATGCGTCTTTACCTATAATGGTGCCTTCTCCCCTTAGGACGTGGATGAGGCTTATATGAACAAGGTGGAACTGGAATCGCGCCTGGAATGTCTGACTGACGAGATCAACTTCCTGAGGCAGCTTTATGATGAGGTAGATAGTGGACTTAACTGGGTGAAGAGCAGCTTTTTGAAGACGTGGACAGGCCAAGAAACTTTGTGCAATGAGTCCTTGGGCTAGTTTAGGGGGTCAGCAGGCTAACAAAAAGCTGCACCAAGAGAACTCTAGTGTTGTGTCAAAGCCTTTTGAAAAGTCCAGTACAAGGCTACATTCTTTCTTACTCAATTATAGCCTGCCTTTCTACACTATGACATTTCGATCTAGTTTCCATTCCCATGTGAAATCTGAGAGCCGTGTGGTAAGTTGTAGTAAGCTGCTTGCTAATTTATTAAGCAGGAGAGCTTTTGGTGGCTGGGACCCCAGTTAACATAACTGTTCTGCAGCGAGAGGGGTACTGATGCAAAGAAGATAGAGCCAGGATATAAAGGGGCTAGTGGGGAAGATAGAAATTTTCTTCCTGTCATGCGTTACATTTAGCCTATTTTATGTGTGTTTTTCCCATGCAAACTGGACAGAAAAGGTGCCATCAGGTTATGGCAGCTATGGTTAGAAATGACTCTTGAGGCTGCAAAAATTATTTGGGGACTACATTCAGCTCTGATGAGGATGTCCCCCACAATGCCCTCTGTTCCCCCCAGAGCTCCCTACTATCTTCCAATTAATCTTGCCCATCCCTGAGACTTTGGGGATCCAAGCACCTGCTCAGAGGCCATTACCAAAATATTAGAGCGCTATTGGCAACACAGGATTTGTTTTTATCAATATCTTATATATATAGACCTAGCCATACGAAATGGGCACGAAATAGAATTCCTGGGAGAAATCCAAAAGCCAAAGTGGTCTAAAACGAATATAAGTTTATAGAGTGGATATGTTTGGATAATCCCAGTGGTCCTCTCTACTTGTTCCTTTGTGCAGTCAGGAAAGTCAGGAGAAAATAAAATAAATAATAGCTGGGTGTGATCAAGTCACAGTCCTAATGGTTTGCGAAACCCAAAATGATTGTAAACCTCCTTATTCTTGATCTAAGGGAAGAATGATGGACTGCAACATTTGTGTTCTGTGGACTAATTTCTCACCAAAGTGCGGTTTGAGTTGGTTTGGTTTGCTAGGAAATAAACACATTTCCTGCTGCAAGGCTTTCCCAGTGACTCGGGTTTAACAAGGTTCCTGTTCCTGCCCTGCAGAAGTGCAGATTCCATTTGGCAAAGTGATTTTGCTTTGATCTAGGAAGCTCGGCTTGTAAGAAGTCCACTCCTTAACTGTCAAACTCGTGAACCAGGCCACTTTAATGCAGGTGATTAAAAAGAACAAAAGTCAGACCTTAAAATGGACGAGAACATTAGTTCTGGGGCTTCACCTGTTGAATAAGGAGGAACTTTTGTGCCAGTAGAGCAATGAGCAGGAAAGAGTTGAATCCTCAAATCATGGTTCCCTGAGGGTTGTCTAGTCTTTGATTTGGGATGATTACAAATGTTATCTTTTGATACAGGAATTGCGTGTCCTGCAGTCTCAGATCAGTGACACCTCTGTGATCCTGTCCATGGACAACAACCGCAGCCTGGACTTAGATGGCATCATTGCTGAAGTCAGGGCACAGTATGAAGAAATTGCTAACAGGAGCCGGAGTGAGGCAGAGAAGATGTACCAGATCAAGGTGAGCTCCATGCTGGCTCTGGCTCTCCTTGACTGTCACTATTCCTGATGAAAAATTAATTCCCAATGAGGAGCTACAATCCCTTCACTTAAGTTGGGAGTTGTGGGTAACTCACAGAAGGAAGGAATCAATGCTTCATGCAACGGTGAAGGAGCAGCGTTATCTATACTGTCTTCCAGAGTCTCTTTCAGTTTGGACATCTCCATCCCATTCTTTATGTAGCATTTTACATTAATGGAATCCTTTTTCCACTATTCTTTTGTCTATTGAAGACGTCGGCCCTTTTATGGGAAAGTTTGGAGAAACCCAATAGTGCAGTAACTCTTAATTTATTGATGGATTGATTTGTCAAATGTCTAAAGCTGCCTGGCTCCATCATAACTCTGGAGAGCATACAGTATTAAAAACCATTGAAAGCATAATCAGCAAAAAGGAGGATAGATGTTTAGAGACAGCTAACAGTAAAAACACAACCCTCAACCCTACAACTCTTGGAATTGCATTTTAGCAAATGAGCTTAATTGGTTTGAATGGAAAGTGATCTGATCATTTCACATACTGACCCATAGTTTGGTTGTGGTCTCCATTTTCTCCTGGTGCCTTGGTATCCTTTCAGGGCACGCTGGCCAGCGTTGAGTTTCAGTATCTGAGCTGGGGCTGGAAGGAACTCCATTATAACTTGGGCAATGTACTTCGTTGTTTTTGTTGTTTTTTTAAGGATTCAAAGTGCATAATAGCTCTATTATCCCAATGATGGAAGGCCTAGATTATTATTTTCATGTTGCAGATAGACAAGGGGATTGAAAATAGGATATAATTACTTGCCTGAGGTTATCTAAAGAGTATTTGTGGTTTGTGTGAGGTTTATGATGCATTTCTCAGCTCATTACTCAGACACTCATGGCAACTTAAGTATACCAGCTGTTTAGAAGGAAATAGAAGACAGAGAACTGGACACTTCCTTCAAGAGTTCTAGTTTACATTTACTCTCTTGGCTCAGATTGGGTTGGAGAATGAGTAGCGAAGTTCATATGTTACCCAAAGCTATAATGTGGCTTGTTTGATTTTGATATGTAAACCTAGCTGTTGTGGCTTATAAAGCATGGATTATGGCTCAGTGAGGTATGCAAAGCAGGCCTCTGGTTTGTACAACAAACCATGCTTAAAATCAGGGTTTAGAGTGTGGGTGATCCCAATCAGTGAGTTCTCCAATCTCCTCCCCCCAACCCCCCAAGTAATCTAGACAGGTTGAAATTTAGGTCTGCTGTTTAAATCCAATGTATCCTTGGCTTTGATGTATCCTCCCTAGCTCAACTCGCTTGGGAAAGTGATTTTGTGCAATGGAAATTGCAGGCTTTGAAACAATCTAATAAAGGTCTTGTATTGAAACTACATCACGAAGGAGCTGAATTGATACGTGTTGTACAGGAAATGGATGTTTTGACTACTCATCATTGGTGGGATGTTTTCTCCTGCTGGAGTCCCACATTATCCAAAGTCTTGCACCTTGCCTTGCACCCAATTGTCATTTTGTTTTTTTTAACAGCCCTTCTGTTTATACTAATTTATACTATACTGTGGACCACTTTGCTGAAGAGATGGTTGTGAGCTCGGTGTGTGTGTGTATATAAAGAACTGTAGTCTTTGCAGCCAGCTCTCTCTCCTGTGGTCTTCCTGTCATCACAGCCCTTGTCCCCTCTGTCTCCTCCCTTTAGTATGAAGAACTCCAGACTGTGGCGGGCAAACATGGAGATGACCTCCGCAACACCAAGAATGAAATCAATGAGCTGAACCGAATGATAACCCGGATACAGTCAGAAATCGATGGTTTGAAAGGCCAGGTCAGAAATCTGCCATTTGCCAGCCTCCTTATGTTGGTCATGCTGGCTTCCTTCTTTGCCCCTAAGCTGGCCTATGCCTCTTCTAATCCTGAAGGCTTGGGCTGCAGATTCATGACTCCAGAGCAGATGCCTGGGAGAGACTGACTGCTGTTTGACCTCTTAAAGGCCATTCAGCTGATCAGAAGATCAGTTGTCTTTTTCCTTTGTGACCACATGAAGTGGGTGGCAAATGTCTGGGTTTTATCATTTGATCTAGCAGGGTATGGGTGGGGGTTGCTGGCACAATTGAAGGCCTGGAAAGAAATGTGGGTGGGTGCTTTTGGAGGTGAAAGGCAGCATATTAAGCAGAGAGGATGGATTTTGAGCCTTTCTTGTTTTCTGAGAGTAGTGGGGTGGGGTGCGGGGTAGGATCTGTGGTCATTTCTGCTCCTCCATTTTATTCCTGCAAGTTCTTGTTATTTCCACCTATGAAATTTAGTTCCTTTGGGACTCTGCACAGGTCCTCACTTTAATTTATAGTGTAGCTTTTTTACAGGAATAAGGGAAGGAGTGGACAGAGGACCTTGCTTGTGTCCTTCAGCTTCTTGGAGAATTAGATGGGATATACAGGAGTCATTTGGTCCAACAAAATACTGTTTTGATCAGCTGTAATTGTTTCAGTGACATCCTCATCTGGGAGGAGACAGCATGGAGTTCTCTTTTCTTAACTTTAGGCTATCTTTCCAGGGACAAGTCTCTCCACTGAATCTCATTTCCCATATTGTGGAAGGGTGGGAATACTGTAAAATGCCGTGTCCTCCCCACCCCTGCCTTTTTCCTGGTTTTTGAGATTTGAGCTGCCTTTTGAACTCTCTCTTCCTTGCCCCCATGCAGCGTGCAAGCTTGGAAGCTGCAATCACTGAAGCAGAGGAGCGTGGGGAGCTGGCTGTGAAGGATGCCAACAACAAGCTCGCTGAGTTGGAGGCTGCCTTGCAGCGAGCCAAGCAAGACATGGCCCGCCAGCTGCGGGAGTATCAGGAGCTGATGAACGTCAAGCTGGCCCTAGATATAGAGATCGCCACCTACAGGAAGCTGCTGGAGGGAGAGGAGAGCAGGTAAAGATCTGCCCAATCAATGTAATATATAGACCAGCGTTCTGCACTCTAGCATCACACAGCAGTTGAGGTCACTGGTGCATCAAGAAACTGTTCAAGTTCAACTTGGCTGCAGTCCTTGATCTGCTGGGGCTTACATTTTGTCCTATTTATGCACATTTTGTCCTACTTATGCCATTTCTTGACTGATTTTTTGTGTGTGGGGGTCTCTTCCCCAATCCTCCCTCTTTTATAGACTGGAGTCTGGGATGCAGAATCTCAGCATTCAAACCAAGACAACTGGTTATTCAGGTAAGCAAGTGTCTGGTAAGCAAATGTCACACTTTGTTGAAGGAGAGAGTAAGGGTGATCAAGATATCAATGCAAATGCCAAAAATTAACCAGAGCAGGGAATACTTTGTTTATTTAGAAGATTTAGATAGCCACCCAACTTGCATAATTGCAATTCTGGGTGGCATACATCATATACAAATATTTGATTGCCAGGTTAAATCTCAACATGTTTCAACAATATTAAGTGATGTTTATTTCCTTGCTTTCATTTGTGAACCTGTGTAACTTGATACCTACCCTGATCTTGAAAAAGAATGGCTTGTCTTCTGGCAAATACTTTTTTTTCTTCAGAGGAAGTGAAATAAAATTTCACTTCCTCTGTTTTACAAACTGTTGTAATAATCAGAATTCTAACAATACTTTAGCATATTAATTTGGATTCCTGCCCTGAGTGAGGGTTGGATTTTATGGCCTATGTGATCTCACCCAAGCTCTATTTTATTACATTATCATTTTCCAGTTTTCTTGTTTCCCATAGCAGTTGAAAATAACTGCAGATCAGTTGGCAAAGGAACACATGCCAGCATGAAGACAAACAACCATTTCAGGGGACAAACCATCATAGTTGAAGCATGTTTAGGGAGTTGGCTGGGCAATAAATGGTTTCTTTTTTAGCTTTTGGCATCTGTTCCCTGCAGCTTTCCCCATCCGTGAGCCTTGTTCCAGTAGATCTGGAGGGCACCAGGTTGAAGAAGACTGGTTTCCTGCATAAAAAAGCCCTCTTTTACTTTGCAGAAATAATAGTGATAAAAAAATTGGCACTGTGAAATTGTTTTTTTCTCCAAAGATACTTTTAAAGATCAAAGATGAAAATCGGCTTTACCATAAAGTTGGTTGCAAGGATGTACCAGTGATAGATTATGTCACCAGGAATTGCTGGGACACAATTTTTGAAACTTTATGGGCGCAGAGGTTGGCTTTTCAAAAATTAAAATTGGTGTGTTAAGCCTATTTTTGTTTTTAATCTTCCAAATGGAAGAAAACTTCAAGTGTAAACTGGGGAGCTGCACCATGACTGGCAGAAAAAGAGGCTTGGGGGCAGGGATTGCCCATTTCTTGCCCAAAGCATGGAGCCTGCAAACATATGTGAGATCTATTGCTTGGAAGTTGTTTAGAACAGTTTCATTAACCTGGTGTCTTCCAAGTGTGTTCAGCTAAATTTCCGTTATCCCCAGCTGGATGGGAAACTGATAAAAGTTACAGTCCAATGCATTTGGAGAGCATCGGGCTCATAAAGACTGAGATAGCAACTTTTGGTGAGGTCTTTTGAGGAGGTGTGCAAAATATTGTTCCCCCCTCCATTTGCAGTTCTGAAGCCTTATTGTCCAAGTTTCTAAGTCATTGATCTCCAAAAGCTGTATTGTGCCACGAGAAAAAAATGTGTGTATGGAGGGAGGGGGAGAGAGGAAGAGAGAAAGAGAGAGAGAGAAAGAAAAGGACAAAAGATGGGGCTGTATCCATTCCCCTAAGCTTGATGGAATGGCCTGCTACTTATCCTTTCCTCTTTTCTATGTGACTTCAGCTGGGAAAATAAGCATAAGGTTGACACAGTCTGTAAGATGAAAGGAGTAGGGGAAATCTGAGTCTGATCATCCTTGTCCTGAAAGCATTGTTCCCTTCATCTCCCAATCTTCACCTTTGGGAATTTGGCATGGCAGGAGGTGCCACCATAACTGGCAAGATACCAAGAGGGTGTCTCTCCTCCATCTGGGAAGGGAATGAGGAAAATGTGCGTATGACCACTGCTTGCTTTAAGTGTGACACCTCCCATTTCTAGTTTTGGAGAGAAAAACTAAAGCAAGGTACTGGATGCTGGGAACTGCACTTCTGTCCTTGATCAGTCTTCTCTGTCTTGTCCAGGTGGCCTAAGCAGTGGCTTCAGTAGCTATGGGGGTGGCTACAGCTCTTCCTACTCAAGTGGTGGATACTCCATAAATGCATTGCCACTGGAGAGCTCGGCCATCAGCAAGACCAAAGCCATTGTCATCAAGAAGATTGAAACCCGGGATGGAAAGCTGGTGTCTGAATCTTCAGATGTGCTGTCGAACTAGGTTGGCGTAGTCTTGAGATGGAAGTCCTAATGGTTTTAAAGTGCCTGAATCCAATGAGCCTTTCTTAATTTAGCTAAGATGATGAGCCACAGGGCAGGAGAGAGGGAAGAGATGCCTTTGTTTTCTCACTGGACTTTTTTCTAGAAGGAAGAATTTGTCTGTCAGAAACCCATGGACTACAGCTCCCATCAGCCCTTTTTGGCCATGCTGGATGAGGCTGGTGGAACTTGCAGTCCAGCTGCAACCGGAAGTCCATAGCTGCTTTAGAACATCACAAAATGTTGCCACTGAATCACGTATGAGATATGATCAAGGAGAAAAAGCAAGGCACGCTCCAACTGCATTCCCTTTTCCTCCACAACTTGAGGGAAAAGGAACTTGCTCACATGGAATTGTGTGGCCTTGACAGTACCCTGTCAGTAGGAGCAGCTGTTGAAAAGAGGCAACAGTTCAGATCTCTGGAAAGCAGCTTTCCCAAGCTACGGTGGGCAAGAAGTCCAGCTCTTTTAGACCACTGTATGTAGAAATGACCCACTCAGGATTGCAGTTTGTAATCTTCACATTGTTTTAAAGCTGCCCTGTTGTATTGTTCACCCCTCTTGCTATTTGCATATAATTAGGTCACATTTTCAATCAAAACTAAGGCTGGAAACATTTTATATTGAAGGACAGGGGAATGGGGGGGGGAATTTCACATGGGTGTGTTACAGGAGACAGCAACTTCTATCAATGATCATACTGTACTAGTTAAAGATGATGGGAATTGCAGTCTACCTGTCTCGAATAGAAGAGGTAACATGGGAGCAGAGTTGGGCAGGAGCACAAAGCAAGTCAGTCTGTGAATATTTTAAAAAACTCCACATGGTGTCCATTTTATTTGAAATAAAAGTTTTCTTCCAATCTTTGATAGTAAATGGCTTAACTTTCGTGTGTGTGCATGTGTGTTTTCTTATGGAAGGGCCAAAGATAAAGGTGAAGGGAAAAGCAGGAGAAACCCACTCTTCCACATCTGCTAAAAAGCATCCAGTGCTCTGAAAACATAAATGGACTGTTACAGGGCTCATTTTGGAAATAGGCAGTAGGGCTAGACAGCCAGCGCCGAAAAAGTTATCTTGCCATTAAGCCTCACTGGCCACAGGTTGCTTCCCGTGCAAATGCTCAGCAAATTGCAGTTAAGATTTGTTCCTGATGTTAGTTAATGCAAATTAATCCCCACTGACAGAGTTTAAAAGGTACAGATGGATGGGGCATATCCCCTTAGGGATGTCCTGTGGCTTGTGTTTTTAAAGCTTCATTTAACATGGATTGTGGAACTCGTAGCTTATTCAGTGGTAACAGGGCAAAGCTACTCTGTGAGCAACCATACTCAATAACGCAATGGTGCCACTTTCTCTTCTCTGAGGTTTAGAAACATTCACCGGGGTATGTTCTCCCGGTCACCCGGCTGGCGCTTTATTGAAAGCCCCTCCGTGCAGGGCACCAATTGGGTAATGATGTTGGAGGACCCTTGAGTTGGGTTAAAAAAAATGAGAAGGGCTGCAACCCCACCCCCCACATGCTTGCAGAGGAAAATAAAAATTTTAACTCTTCCTCTCCTGACAAGTGGGTCAGTCTTAACCTATCTGAACATTCCATGCACATGTTGGCAAAGCATTTTAGAATAAAACCTGCCTTGCTTGCACCCATATATCTAGCTGCAACCTACCTTAGAAGTTCTTTCTAAGCAAGGCCTATCAAGTTGAAATGAGTGTTGGGGTGGAAAGCTATAGGATAGCATATCCCCCAGAATAACCTTTGGTTGTCCAAAGCCCCATGGTGCTGTTAAACTCTTAATTTGGGGTAAGGCTTACATAGCATTTAGACACAACTCATCATGGTTTTTGAACAAACCCCATTGGGTTGGGTTCAAACAATCTGCTAAGCCAAAACCAAATTAGTGTCATCAAGGCTTAATACTATGTATGAACCAAGTCAATGATTCCAGAGTTTCCACTTTGCCACATGGAGGCTTGTGATTGGTGTATCGGGCCGACTTCAGTAACCAAGGATTAATGCACGTTCATCCCCAAGGCTATGTAAGGAATAAAGTTGAGAGCAATCACCCCAAGTGCTGTGTAACCAACCATTCAAGCTCCTTAGGCACATTCTGAAATAGCCAGTTTAAAGCTCTGCAGGAAACACTTAAACCATTTATTGGAACGGGTTCGCACATCGCATTAAGCAGTGTGGATTGTTCAGTTCTGGTGCAATAGAATGAAAGAACCCAGCTACGTACCCTGTAATTTGGTCACTCAGCCTTCTAGATTTTATTGGATCTTCCCTGTAGTTCTGTTATTTTGCTATTGGTTGAGGCCTAAAATGTCTAGTCAACACGACGTTATCTTTTCAGGTTTTTCCACAAAAGGCCTAAAAAACTGCAATAAAAATTAAATGGCTTTTGCATGGCTATTAGCCATTCTCATGCTGAAAGCTCACGGGTCAGCCCACGAAGCTCTGACCAACAATATTCCAAACCTGTTCTCTATATTCTCTTCTTGAAAAATCAAGGTCAGTGTTTTAATCACTTTCACAGCTCAAATTGCTGTCATTGCTCTACTCCTCTTTATTGCCCAGCTTTGCATTATTACACCTTGTTTTCCTGTGGTGTTTGTGATTCCGTCTACCTGCCAAATCCCTATTTCCTTATTTGACAACCATAATGTATCTGTCAGCTGTCTCCTCCTCTGCCTACACTCCTACTATAGATGGAGTTAGTCTATAGTAGCTTAGCTTCATTGAACACACCTAATTAATTTTCCTATTCTGTATCTAAGACATTGTAAAAACAAGCAGTAACCCTAGATTTGATGTTCAGTTGCTTGTACTTTTAATACTGGGGCAGTGAAGAGTTAAGGAGCAAACCAAGTGCCTTAACTCTTGCAGGGATTTAGATCACTCATTGCACCCCTTGAAACCATTCCCTTCCCTTCAAAATCAGGCTGACTTGCCCCACTTCATGCTGCTTTTTTAAATACTTAAGACACCCAGTCTTTAAAATCCCCCCACCCAAAAAAACCAGGCTGAAAATTTAGCCCCATGCATTCCTGCAACACCAAGAGCCAGAACAGGGCACACGAAGAACAAGGCTGAAAAAGGCTGCCCATACCTGCCTCAACAGAAATGTTAAGACATATCTGCAGGACCTAAATAAATAAATACTTGTGCAGCTACGATGCCTTTACTTTCATATTAGGTTAGATACTGATTGGGGACATATAACATGAATCCCAATGGGCATGGAAGGTCCTCAGGGCCTCCTAAAATGGTTTCTGCATTCTGTTTTGTGAGGCTTTCCTTCATTCTTCACAACCATCCCAAATAATTTACTTCTGACAAAGGTCTCTTGCTTAGTTGTTTCCTTTTATGTGACTCCTATTGTTTATTTGCGCCATCAACGTTCCAGCTCCCTTGGACAGAAGCGAGCAGTTCTGGAGGATATCGCCCCTACCCCACCACATGCTGCTAACTTTTACTAAGTAAACAGACAAAGTAGAAAATAGGGAAGCATTTATTGCACATTGGACATTTTAAATTAAAACAGCAACCCCTGTCTCTGCTACTAAGAGGTGGCACTAGCTTCCTCATTCCTTCCTCTTTTAATTAAAGTGGCATCTGAAAAATAAAAATCTCTAGCGGTTTCCGGAGATCAGTGCGAAGACTGTCGGCGAGTCCGGGCCGACACCGGGTGATGGCTTGGCTTCCTAACGTGGCAAATCTTTGGCATTGTGGGAGCACCCAGCTTTCCCAGCTAAAGTCTCTGCCCCACGTCGTCCCCCACAGGAAGCAAACCGGGGAAGACAGGAAAGGAGAGAGCCCAGGATCCTCCATTCTGGCCCTCGGAGGAGAAAGAGCTGGACTCAGGAGGTGATTGTGCTTTTCTTTTTTTCAGTCAAGCTGTGTCAATTTAAAGAAGACCAGCAGCTTGAAAAACTGTCCACAACAACAATCCCTTCCCCACAGACGGACGGAACAGACAGCTTGACTTAAGGGGCCTGAGATCAGGCCAGCACCGGCCGCTCCGGCGGCTTCAAGTATTCCCTTGGGCTGGAAGCAAATGCCTGCTGCAAACCTCAGTTCAGGACACGAGCTGTTTGTAGGATCGAAGCCCCAGGGGACGGGGGTGGGTGGGAACGGAGGGCACCTAGTGTCGAGGTTGGAGCCTCTTCTGCGGAGGGGAAGCAGAGGTGCTTGGTGCACTGATCCCTGCCGCCGTCCAGGGGCCCAGCGTCTGTGGCCCTGCCCTCCTACGCCTTGCTAGTGTTGGCTGGAATCCCCCCTCCTCCCCGATGCTCTTGATGGGCGATCCTAGTGCCTCTCTGCAGGGCGGCGGCGGCAGCAGCAACACACATACACAGAGGGCAACGCTGAGCCTGCTAGGCCTCCGAAGTTGCTTGTGGCTTCAGCTGAGCTTTCTCCATGGCTGTGCCGTAAGGGAGGGAGCGTTTAAAAAAGCCCAGCTAGGAAAGAAGAAAGAGAGACAGGTCAGCATCTCTGCAAGACTTCCCCCACTGGATTCTTTTTTAGGGCAAATTCCACTGCAATAGAGTGGGTCTTGTGGAAGCACGTTTACGGTTCCTGCTTAAGTCCCCTGTAATCAAATTAGTGCAGAAATACTTCCAGATTTTACCTAAAAACAAGAGACAGTTTTCTCTTTCCAGCCCTCTTAAGTATCTCACAATATGAACCCACCGTTGTTGTTTTTTACTGCCTTTGAGTGATTCCTGATTCTTAGAGGCTACCTGGACAAGCCCCTGCAGTTTTCTTGGCAACATTTTTGGAAGTGGTTTGCCATTGTCTCCTTCCTAGGGCTGAGAGAGGGTGACTGGCCCAAGGTCACCCAGCTGGCTTTGTGTCTAAGGCAGGACTCGAGTTCAGAGTCTTCCAATTTCTAGCCTGATGCCTTAAACCACCACGCCAAACTGGCTTTCAACCCACTGGTTAGTACTATCTAATTAAGTTCATAGTTCTCATGAGGACTGGAGCCATAAAAATTAAACACTCTTGGCTCAATCACATATTCACATGCATCATGCCCCAATTGCTGAGTTTCAGTTGAATATTGGAAACCATCTCCCTTAAAAACACTAAACATTGATTCAAGCCATTTTTGTTACTGTATAAAGGCTGCTTCATGCAGGGACTGAATGCTAAAAATGTAGTTATATGTGCTTTGGGGCTGCAACTCTCTGTTGCAGGCCAAACTGTAGACTTGTTCAACAAGGGAAATGACTCAGAGTGAATACACCAGGGTAGGGCTAGAAAATCACAGGTGTTGCCAAAGGGTCAGGTACTGTCCAGGGTGCTGAAGCCACTCCCCACTGACACCTCTTAAAATCCTGTACAGCTTTCAGCTGGCTTCTGAGATTTCACCTCCTTATTTACTCATATTTTTCTTACATCTGCAGTCCTTACAGCCAATTTACATCTGAGCTTTAACATCTCCTCCCCAACCCTGAATTCCTCCCCTACTAGACTGTTCCATGAGCTCACCTTGTACAACACATAGATGAGCAGTGCCAGCAGCAGCAGTCCAATCAGAATGGCTAAGATGATGATCCATAGAGGAACACCTTGGCTAGTCTCTGCCTTAGCCCAGTGAAGTGATGTTGACACCTGCCACCACGAAGGAAGCAAGAATAAGAGAAGAGATATCCAAAAGCTGTAACTGAAGGTGTTACACTGGTAGCATTTAACCCCTGCTGGATTAGCATATATACTATACAATCATTCTTCAAAATGTTACAGGAGGATCATTTTACCCTATGTAGTATCAGTAAATAAGAAACTGGGAGAGTATGAGTTCTTGTTTGGGGGAAAATAGGAGGAGGGAACACCATGTACACTGCCTTGAGCTGTAGAAAAACAAAGATGGGAT